GAAGATGGACAAACCACAGATTTCTCAACTAAGGACATTTAATATAAAACAATAATTCTGCTCTGTAATTTAACAATATGCTATTATTAAGTAATTTATAATGAGACAGACAAAACATGGAAATTTTTAGAGATAAAAATATTGCTAAGCAATAATCGCATTAGACTGGAATGAGTGAGAATTTTTTTTAATTGTTAGAATCAGGTAAGCTTGCTAACTCACCTCAATACTAGAATGAGTTCCTTCAGTTAGGGACTAAAATCTATCCAACTGTAAAAGATGACAAGAGCAAAGTTATTTTTAAAAAAATAAAGTAAAGAGCCTTGTTCAACTAATTTAACATAAAATTATAATTGTAGTCCAGCTTTTTATGGATATAATATAAATTCTATCAATATATATTTGGGGTCAGTTTTCTAAAGTACATCATAGATCAGAAACAATTGAGACCAAAACTGACCTATAACAGAATAAGCCAATAGTAAGAACATTTTTATTAAAATGAAATCGATTAGCACAAGAAAAAAAATCAAATGAAGAAAGGCATAGTTAGGATTTTATATCATAATTAAAATATTACTTTTGATACAATTATGGGAGTAATATCAAGATTAGATTAAGTCATAACTTAAGAAAATCCTTTTTAGGCTTTTGGGAAAAAATACAGGTTAAATTGAAATAACTAATAGAATAGATTTACCTATTGAGGCAAGTGAAATATTCTACAAAATATATGTGTATCTAAAGTTATAAAATTAGCCTCTTTGTCAACAGTATTACAGAACTATTCTGAAATAAACTGCTTGTAATTAATTTTATAAAAGACTCTTATAAATAAAACAAACTTTACAAAATAAAAAAAAAATAAATTTCATCTTATCTGTTGTTCCTAAGGATCAAGAATATTAATTACATCACTGAAGTCAATCCACTTTCAAATGAATTCAATATTTTAACACATAATACATTGACTTCCCTAATCTCTACTTAACCAGTTACCATAATTTGTTATATCTCTAGTGATAAAATACCACTCGGTCTAATTGTTCTGTGGCTAGCATCCAAGGAACAATGCATAACAGCTACAATCCATTAAGAATGTGGGATTAGTATTGATAAAAATGTGAACTCTTCAAGGTCAGAGAAAATAGCTGAAAAAGATCTGGTTCAGTATATACTTTTTACCTTAACCTTTAAAGACAGCTTTATAAGTCAATTAAATGTTTTTTGTTTCAAGCTTACAAAGTTGACAGGCTTGATTTCTTCATTTTTTGTTTTTTTTTCTATCTGAATATGGTGTGACATATGAGGACTTAAGATAATGTCAAGCATCATCTTGGATGATGTAAAAAAGACTATCTTTTGGCATCCCTTATGAACCAAAATATTATGAACCTTATTAATTTGAAAGGTGTTTTCAAAGTTCAAAAATCTAAGTAGCAGTTTATATAACAGAATTTGATTGAGTTGTTTTTTAACAGATTATCAATCTTTTGCAGGTTATCTAAAGCCAGAAAATATTTTTAAATTTTTAAGTATTTTTGGGAGGCAATAATGATTTACCAATACAAGTCCTATTAATTAGCCCATAGCTGGAAAAGAGCTGGATTCATACCATTCCCCAATGGTATTTATGCATAAGTGAATATAATGAACCCAAATGGAATTGAAACTTGGCTCACCAATACAAAGCTGTTATCCATTACGCCACCTGCACACCCTAACTTACAGTACCTAGTATTCTCAAGCAGTCACCCATCTAGGTACTAACAAGGCTTGACGTTGCTTAGTGAATGTATGAGAACCATTGTTTCAACATATGGCCATAAGCTTATATAATAAAAAGGCAAACTAACCTAAACAAGCAATTAAGAATTATGCAGATTGAATATGTCAAAAAATTCTATTATCATAGTCCTTTGATATTCAGTTGAAACCAAAAAAGCATTTCTCAGCTTGAAAGTAGCCAAGTTAACCTGATTAAAATAAACTAATGTTCTTAAAAGAGGAGTAAAATACTGAGGAACAAAGATGAATAATTCCTGTCTTGGAATGAAAAAGACCCTATGTTAGGGTCTGGTATTAACATCACTTGACGTATCATCTTTACGTAATTCATTTATAACCTTGTAAAACAGAATAGCAATTATTAAGAAACTACAAGAAGACAATGTAAAGTTCTTAGGCAAAGGATGGGATTCAAAAAAAAAAAAAAAAAAAAGTTTAGTCATTTGTTCAAATTTTGAGTGCATCAGGCCAAGAACTTTTCTGTACTCCATTGGATATTACTTATGGTAAATATTTTAAAAAGTATTTATTGAGCATGAGGAAAAAAAAAAGATCTGAAATTGAAAGTAATAAGTTTAACAGGTTTAGGCAAGAAAGCACTGTGTCAATGTAATACAAAAGATTAAATGACCTACTTAAAAGAAAAAGAATCATGGAAATTATCACCAGCAAAGATACATAAAAATTGATATCTTAATTTTATAACAAAACCTGTATGAAATATATAAAGGGAGTGTTTTAATTTTAAGTTATGTCCAAATAGAAAAAAAATTACCTATTTCTGAAGACCAAGCCAAAATACCATTAATTGAATGAATAATAATCATTGTCATACTTATGTATTACTTACATGTAAATTTTAAACCTACTTTTAAAAATTGCTAGAGAATAATAAATCTCATAAATAGTAAATATTTATACAATTTGGAAACTAAGTTTTAAAGTTCTAATGGCTTGATTTTATAATTTTACATGTCATAAGTTTGAATAACAAGTATTCATCACTCTCCTTACAGCACATTAGTTAATTTTTTTTTTTTAGAGGATTGAACGTTGCAAATAACTTACAGCAATGTGTGTGTGTGTGTGTGTGTGTGTCACAAGAGTCAGATTCTTTATTTCAATGTCCAATCATGGCATATCAGTGACAAGACAAAAATCAAAATAACTAGTGATAGGACATGATACAGAGAAGTGAATCAGTTTATGGTCTGGTATTAAAAAAGATACTGTTTTGTAGGAAGATCCATGTCCTTATAAGCCATGTCAGGCCATTTTACATGAAAGATATAATAACATCAGATATATTACTAGGATACTGAAGGAGTTTAAAAATATTTTCAATATATTTTTCTTTTTCATGTAAATATCAATAGTTCCAAATTCTAAGTGCTGTTAATTAAAAACCTATAATTATTCTAGATTTTACTTTTGTTGTTGACTAGAAATTCAGATCATTTTTGTTTATGGATTTTTGGTAGACATTCTTATTAAAAGAGAAAGACATTTTCTAAGGCAAAAATGTACAGAAAAAGCACTCACTTTATGATCTTTCTAGAGTAAATTTACATCCATGATCATACAATTATCTCCTTTGCACACAAAATCTACATCCATGATCATACAACATATCTCCTTTGCACACAAAATTACTACTAAGAAAATGTGGTATAATTAAAAACAATAATGATAAAAAGCTGTATAAAATAAGCTAAGTTTAACATCTGGATAAATTAGACATAAAAATTTAAATGTTGAGCATTTCTGTATCTAATGTTTCAATGGAAAGCATAAATGACATTTATCATATTTCTCCCTACATATTTATTATGTATAGATAGCGAAAATAATGCAACAAAGTGGAAATGTTTGCTTTCTTATAGCAGGTGTTTCCAGGTTGGAAAAAAAAGATAAACCAGATTAGTCTTGAGGAAGAGGCAATCTTTAACAGATGCTATGGCCATGAAATTTTCTTTTTTATATTGAAGTTTTTAATGTCCGTTGGATTTGAAATTAGCTCACTCCAAGTAGATCTGTTTTTTTCCTCCATTAGTTCATATTCCACATTGTGCCACTATTGCTTTTGCAATGATTCATGATATTGTATACAAGCCCGCTGAGGTCGATAATAGAGGACTGTGAGATCAGTGCACTTTCAATGCATTTTCTTCTTAATGAAATATTTTTTCTTCTAATCAGACTGGCATTTATTAGGTCGAAATTGTAGTCATATGGTGTTATATTGTTAATATCAAATACATCAATAAGAGTTGTCTGAAGAAATTCCTTCACAGAACAAAATGTCACTACTCAGTTTTCCATCATGCCATTCATTTTTCCACAAATATTACACTAAGAAACTACAAAAATGGTTATACTATAACTAGTGTCCTATTTTTATTAGAATGACTTTAGTTTATTTCTGCTCTCCTTGACATAAGCCATGGTTTAATTTTATGAACCATTCGTACATTCATAAATAATTAAATGATTGATGAAATTACATTAAGAAATATGCCTTACTACCTGCCATACCAAAAAGAATCAAATCTTGTATAAAGAAAAGGTTGAATTTTACCTCAACATATCCAAGCCGTCGTTTTCAGCTCAACTTCTTACAAACTACACTGACAAATTAATTTTCAGATAACATCCAAAAGCAGATGCTGAACATCAGCAAACTGTAGCAACTGTTATAGAAACACTCTTCATTTGATATTGCCTTTATAAACAAACATATTTTTTTTTAGAGTTATGCCTTTATCAGAAGTAATAAAACAGTCTAGAATTTACATAAAGGAATTGAAATTCGGATTTCAAAAAGTAATTTCCTCTCCAAAAGAAATGACAGTATTATAAAACAGAAGAAACAGTTTAAACTTTAACAAAAAAAAAAAAAAATTTTTTTGTTGTATAATTGAGCTGATATACATAAATAAATGCAACTCCTATTCATTCACCTTGGATTGATTCATTTTCTACAGCTTATCAACCCTTTGCAGGTTATTTAAAGCCAGAAAATATTTTTAGCTTGTAAGAATTTTTATTTCAGAGATAGAAATGATTTAGTGATAAAAGTCTTACTAATTAATCCATAGCTGAGGGGAGAAGAGGTTGATTCATACTTTTCCCAAGCATAATTGCATGTAAGTGAATATAATGAACCCAACTAGAATTGGAACTGTTCTCCAATTAACAATTCGGAGCAAGCTTATAGCACCAGGTATTCCCAAGTGGTCACCCATCTAGTTACCTACCAGGCCCAACATTGCTTAACTTTGTTGATTGTATTGGAACTGATGTTTTAATGACATGGCCATACATAAGCCATCGTTCATCTTGGAAAATCCAAACTCTATATAAATACATGTGTATTACAATATCATTTGTACTATTTTTTTTATTTAAAACACATGCAACTTTAAAAATAAGTTAATTTCTTATTCATTAAAGTTTTGAAATTTTGATAGGAAATTAATCTATTCAATACAGAATAATTAAGTTTCTCATAAAGCAACATATAATTTGAGGAAACAACTATTCTGATTGATTTATCTTTCATATTTTTTTGTCATTTGAATCAGGCAATTTAAGAAAACTATGACTGTATGCACAGAAGTTCATTGCCTTTATGAGGAAAAAAAAAATTATTTTACGTATTACAAACGTTTTTCAACATAATCTCCTTTCCTGTTGAATACAACTTAACTCAATGGTAAATATAATTATATACATTTCATTTAACTTAACACAAAAAAAAATCTAAGGTTTAAAAATAAAATGCATTTTAAAACTGAAAAGTCTTGAAGCTTTTATTTTAGTTTTAATTGCAAACTTTAATATTTTCAATAAGCAAAATACTCTGCTGCATTTCAAAATTAATTTAAAAATTGGATTAGTTAGAATTATTTTTTTTATCGCTAAGATATTGACAAATCTATCAACACATCTATTAGAAAATAAAATATACTTTTTTTAAAACTTTATGAAGATTTAACAGGTTTAAAATTTAATTAATCAAAATTAAAATATTACTTTCATTTTAAAGGCATTTTTTAACATGGATATCATTGGGTATTTTTATGAGGTGTGGACACATTGATAACCGTTACTTTCACGAGATTTAGGCGAAAAAATACTTGTAAAATTACATGATAAATACGAGCAGCTTCTTATAATTTTTTTAAGTACATAGTAATGTTAAAAATTTAAAATATTTTAAACATTCTAATATTTTATTGAATTTTAGGTACTTTGGCTTTATGGTCTTAAAGACACTTGTTGAGAAAATATTAAAAATTCATCAATAAATTTTAAGTTTGTTTATTGTAGTTACTGCTCTTGTTTTTTGATAATATTGTTATTGCTAGTGTATATCGACGTCCGTATTTACAAAAATCGGCATACACACACACAAATGAATTTCTCATTTAACGGATACAAAAAAAAATAATAATAGCAAGATTCTCTAAGAAAGGGCATTTCTAAAATAATTTAATTCATTTGTGAATAAATCTTAAAAGTCATTAAAATTCGACAATTATCTGATTTTTGCAGGAATTTCCCAATTTCCAATATTAATTTATGGTTAGGTTCCCCTTTTTTGATGAAATACAAAATTTTAGGTTCTAGAAAGGATTAAAAAAAAAATATAATTTAATAAAAAATCCTTTGCTCTTTCCTTCTTAAAAATAAAGACTTTGATGATAGAACAATACATTGTTTTTATTGGGTTTTTTTTTTTTTTTTTGGTTTTGGGGCTTTTTTTTTTAAATCATGTATGCTAATTTTTTTAGCGAATATTTACATTTTGTTATAGTAAAAAAATTCTGCTATAACTAGATGTCAGACTCCAGACTTATTGATCCACCCTCATACCCCTTGCTTGGATCAAAGAGAAGGAATTTACCCAGAGCATTGATAAAGCATTAAAAATAGTTATTTTTTTCTTTTCCTTTTTTCATTTCACTTGTCTTCTAGTTGTTATTTAACAATAATGCTGATTATAAAAAAGACAAAAATATGAACTCAAAAAGCTAATAATGATAGTGGTTTAGTTATGATGTAATCTTGGTATGATGTTGCCGGGTAACTTCAGTTTAACATACAGACAGTGTAACCCGGATATAAGAGAGTTGTCGGGACCGGAGAAGAAGTCTCTTATATCCGGGTTTGGTCTATTTTATATACAGATACATTAACACAGGCTCTAATTTGGGACCAGAGAAAATCTCTTATATCCGGGTTACACTGTAGAAGTTATTTTTTTATTTATACAGTGTAACCCGGATATAAGAGATATTTTCTCTGGTCCCAAATTAGAGCCTGTATATGTATATAAATTAAACCGAACCCGGATATAAGAGAAACCCGGATATAAGAGACTTCTCCGGTCCCGACAACTCTCTTATATCCGGGTTACACTGTACTGTACGAATGTATTTTTAAAGTCCCAGAGTATGAAATACCAACAGAAATGGGTTTCGTTTTAATGATCAAATATTCAAAAACAAAATACAACAAATTCAGGTTTTACAAAAATAAATAAATAAAAATTAAATAATTTCCCTTTTCACAACAGGTGTTTTAGTTTTAGGAACACGCATACAACTAAAATAAATGCTCAACAATGTATGAAGCTTAAATTGATTACTGCATTAAAATTGTCTTTCGCGAAATGCAAGAATTTTATAAGTTATAGAGTGGTCCTAAAGTCGTGTCACCCCTACATTATATAATTTTCTATTTCAGATGGCTGACACGAGCTCCTACAGTTTGGAAGAGGTGAGGTGGTGACAAGACTTTCGAGCCACCCTGTACATTTGCTTATAGTACTATAAAATAAAGTTCAACATTATTTACTTACCGTTTTTTACCCAACCCACCTATGGATGAAACTGCTGACCGTAAAAAAAAAAAAAAAAAAATGTTTGCGCACAAATGAGGAAAAAAAAAATGAACGATTTTTGAAATTATTTCCGGAATATACGTGAGAAAAGCGTTCAATAAATACTAAGTGGGGTCGAGGAACGAGACAAATAGCTAACAAGTTTGAAATAAGAAGACCTTTTCTAAGAGTCAACAACAGATTAAATACCTCGAGCATGTGAGTGCGCAAAGCATTATGGGTTATTTTATTTAAGCACTTTCTTTCTAGGTATCTTCACAATGTAAAGAAAAGGTACTTAAAAAATGTTTGTTGATCTGTCATGAAAAAAAAATCCCTTAAAATTTGAAACAATAAAGAAAGCTTTGGTCGAGTAATAAAAAAGTATATTTTACAAGATTTTTTTTTCTTCTTTTACTTAGATAAGCTTGATAAATTTTTAGGTATGAAATTAAAATTAAAATAGACAAATACTCGGATATAAAATAAAGATTCAACCTTTTAGTTAAAAATTGTAAATAAGACAGATTTTTTTTAACATACCGTTGTAAATAGAAAATTTTCAAATGTATTCACAATTGTAAATCCAAACTTTATCGCCTACACAAAAAATAAATTAATAAAAATTAAAAAAAAACATTTATTAGTCAGTGGAGAAAATGTCAGAAAAAAAAAAAAAAACTAAGCTTTTTTTTGTTTATTTGTTTAATAAACAGTAACTTAACGCCAACATTTTTATTTTTTATTTATATTTTGTTTGGGTTGCAAAAGTTTAAGTTTCAAAATAAAAAATATATAGTAGGTTTCTTTTAAAAATATCACTTTAGCTTGCATTAATTGATCATCAGTCAGAGAGACAAACATGAAACAGGTGTTTAATTTTTTTTTTTTTTTTTTGGTCCTTTAACGAAGCAAGAAATGGTAATAATGGTATATAATTAACCAATTCTTACAATCTTATATAATCCATCATTTTATTTAATTTCGTTTTCTTTAACCATTGATCGTAAAAAGTGTAAATGAGAAATGGTAAAAAATAAAAATAAAATAAAAACAGCTTTATCATCACACCTAACAAAACCGTTTTAAAATCATTCTTTTTTTTTTTTTAGAAACGTACAAACGTACATTTTTAAATAATGTTATTTTTAGTTGCATTTTTTAAAAATAAATAAAATATATGACGATAAAAACCTTTTTTCTCCATTTTTTTAGTAAGTTTGTAACCCCTTTTTTACCTCACTAGAGTAACTTAAAAAAATGTACTACTTTCACTTTCAAATCAGTGTACCTAAACATAAATCTATTTACAAAAGAAAAATACATTGTAATTATTTGTCAAGTTTAGCTGTTATAAATGGAAATGATAAAAATATACAAAGGTTATTTATGAATAATAGAATCTAGTGCAATGTTATATCAGTAGTAGTAAATTGCATATTTAATTCAATATAAATTCCACTCTTCTAGCTAATTTGAAGAAAATTACCACCAGCTTCAAATTTTTCAATAAATACTTTTTTTTAGTTTTACTTATCAAAATCAAATCAAATTAATCTCGATTGGAAAAAAAATTACGTCTTCAGTTCATCTATCTGCCCAAGATTATAATTATTTTATTATTTTTATTGTCTAAGATGAAAGTTTCTTTTTAAACATGTCTTATAAAAAAAAAATATAAAGTATTGAAATAATAATTGTGTAAAAATATATCACTAACGATTATAATTACTGAATTTCGATCATCTCAACGGTTATAAACTAAATTTAATTTGTCAATAAAAATTTAAGGCTGCATTTTTTTTTTAAAGAAAGCAAAATAAAAAAATTCAAGTGTGAATTTCAGTTACGTACAGTGAAAAATAAAAATGTACACCATTACGAAGCAGAAAATGTGAATAGATTTGTTTAAAACACTACAAAAAGCACAATTCAGACATTTAAAGACAATTGAATTAATTAAAATACAAACCAGAAACAGAAAAAAAAACAACGTCCCAGCATTTAAACCTGACGATCGACTCTTATTTTCTTAAAAGCCTGACATAAACGAAAGTAGACATTTGAAATTTTACAAAACCACATTTACGTGTAGCTTAATACGATAAATGAAAACAATATCACAAAACATTATTTCTTTATCGCGAGAATATGAAATATATTTATATTAAATTTTTCTTTTTTTAAAATGCAACGTTTTTATAAATAATTTAATACACAAAAACACGAAACCTGTAAGTGGACATAAACAGGGGGTTCAGTTTATTACATATTTTATAAGACAAACTAATCCCCTCTTTCCAAAGCCTTGTAAGTAGTCACAAACTGGGGGTCCAGTCTAATATTACTTTATCATATTAAACTGAACCCCTAGTTTGTGACCACCTTTACACCCATTTATAAACACACACCATTACACAGCAAAAAT